CTACACCCACCAGAGTGACGTGTATGTGGTCCGCAGCCCCGTGGGGGCGGGCACTCGGCAGCCCCTGACTCCCCGTTCCCTCCCCCGGGGCGACGTGGGGGCGGTCCTGGGCGTGGCCTGCAGGCGGTCAGCCGGTGACCAGCCCGTGCCGCCCGCAGCTGGTCCTTTGGGGTCCTGCTCTGGGAGACCTTCACCCTGGGGGGCTCGCCATACCCCGGCATCCCTGTGGAGGAGCTGTTCAAGCTGCTGAGGGAAGGCCACCGCATGGACAAGCCGGCCAACTGCACGCACGACCTGTGAGTGTCCCCCGCCCGCCCCGCGCGCCCCGGCGGCCAGCGCCTGACGCCCTGCCCCGCAGGTACATGGTCATGCGGGAGTGCTGGCACGCGGTGCCGTCCCAGAGGCCCACCTTCAAGCAGCTGGTGGAGGACCTGGACCGCGTCCTCACCGTGACGTCCGCAGACGTGAGCGCTGCCCGGGAGGGGGGTGGGGAAGGGGAGGCCCCGCCGGCCGCGCGCTGACCCCCGCCCCCGCAGGAGTACCTGGACCTGTCGGTGCCTTTCGAGCAGTACTCGCCGGGCGGCCAGGACACCCCCAGCTCCAGCTCCTCGGGGGACGACTCCGTGTTTACCCACGACCTGCTGCCCCCCGCATCCTCCGGCAGTGGGGGCCCTAGGACGTGAAGGGCCGCAGGCCTGCAGGCCGAGCCCCACCAATGTGATCGTGGACCCCGGCTTCCCTCTCGCTGCTGCTGCTGCTGCTGCTGCTGCTGCTGCTGGTGTGCAGTCCATCGGCCCAGCCCGGTGGGCAGGCAGGTGGACAGACGCTGGTCCAAGTGCGTGCGTTTTCAGGGCCCGGTGCTGGGGTCCCCGGGCGCCTCCCTGCTGTGCAACGACCTCCTGGCCGGGTGTGCCCGGCGGCACGGGGGGCCGAGTGTAGAATGTAAGGGGTTCCTCCCTATAGCCCTCCCCGGCTCCCTCGCCCCCGCTGGCATCCGCCGGCGCGCCGGGCAGGCTGAGCCCCGGCGTCCAGGACGGGCAGAGGGGGCCGCGTGCCCACAGCTGAGCCTGCAGGGCCGCCCCGGGAGCCCCTCCCTCGCACACTCCTGGGGTGAGTGTCCGCACACAGCTCCGCTCCAGGCCTCCCCGCGCCCCCCACCCCTCGGAGACTGAAATTACGGGTACCTGAAGGCGGAGCCTTTAACGTCTATCTGAAAGGTTTATTCCAGAAACAAGTGTACATTTATATACATAGATGCCGTGTATGTGATGCACATACGTATATATATAAGAATCTATATGGGAGGAGAAAGGCTGGCTCAGCCAGGCGGGGGCCCCGAGGGGCCCCGACACCAAGCTTGGGCCGACCGATTGGGCCTGGACCTGCAGGCTTGTAAAGTTATTTATCGGCTCCCAGGCACCCCCCACCCCGCCCACGGAGCTGCCAGCCTGAGTTTCAGCCCAGTGGCCGCGCGGAGGGGGACGCAGCGGCCACCAGCCCCCACCCCGTGCCCTGGGGGGCCGTTGCGGCCGGACCCAGTGGACACACCCTTTCCTTGGCTTTCTGCAGGGGATTCGATTTCTGTAGGATTTTTCTAGATTTATTTTTTGGAATTCACAACTGGCTGGTGTGTCCTACAGCTGTTTTAACTGCTCGCAAGGGGGTGCCACGAGGGGCCTGCCGCGGGTCGCTGTTCTAGATGTTACAGGTTTATATATATATATCTATATAATTTATTGAGTTTTTACGAGATGTATTCGCTAGATTAACACTTCTTACGCAGTGCTTCTGGACGGCCCCCAACTGCCCGTCAAAGCTTGGGCGGGCGCCCGCCGCCTGTCCGCTCTGCCCGTCGTGACGCTGGCTTTCGGGGCTGTCCTCTGCCGCCCGCTGGGCCGCCGGGCAGGGTGCCGGGAGTCCTGGCTCCGGGGTGCCTGGCCGGTGGCGGCCCGAGCCGGCAGATGTACATCCCCAAAATAAAGACGCGACTGGTTCAGTGCCTGCCCCAGCGTTCCTGCCTCCTGTCCTGGGCCCCAGGGTGCTGTCCTGCTGCCCACGGGGACAGGCCTGTCCTCTCCTCTGCCCCGAGGAGGGGGCGGGAGCTGCAGCCGCAGGTCACGGCTCCCCAGGGTCCCCCCTCAGTCTCTAGCTGCTGAGTCAAGCCTGGGTGAGGGCGCGGCGTCTAGTGGGCTCCCCGTGGAACCTGTCTGCGGCCTGTCTGCGGCTGGGGGGCGCAGAGCACAGGCACCGGGTGTTCACAGAGCGGTGGGGACCTGGGTTGCGGTGCCAGGAAGAAGGCCCGGCTGCCTGCCCCTGCTGGCCCCCCAGCTCTCGGAGCCCAGTGGACTCAGGTCGTGTCCAGGCACCGTGTCTGTGCTGGGTCACACCCCTCCCCGGCTTCTGCTGACCCAGTCCGTGGGGGTTTGTAGCGGAGGCCCCCCTCATGGAGCTGGCTGTGAGGAAAGCCCCGTGTCTGCACCCTGACACCCCACCAGAGGCCTCTGCTGTGGACACGGGCCACACCCCCGCTGCTGGCGGCTCCCCCACCCAGCTGCCCCCGCTGGCCTTGCCTGTCCCAGCACGCGGGGGCCGAGCCTTGCAGGTGTACCCCCTCCCCCAGCGGCAGGGCCGGGCCCCTCTGCAGTGAAGAGCAGGACCCTCACCGGCAGGTGTGGGGTCAGTAGAAGGCCTTCCTGGGGGAGGGGCAGCGTCCAGGCCAACAGGGACGCCACAGGTCCCCACTGCTGGGCTGCAGCGTGGACTTCAGCCGTCTTCCGAGGGGTTTAGTCCTGGCGCTCGGCGCCTACACCCACCAGAGTGACGTGTATGTGGTCCGC